TCTATGGGTAATGTTAGTCTATGGGTGATGTTAGTCTATGGGTAGTGTTAGTCTATGGGTAGTGTTAGTCTATGGGTAATGTAAGTCTATGGGTAATGTTAGTCTATGGGTAATTGTAGTCTATGGGTAGTGTTAGTCTATGGGTAATGTTAGTGTATAGGTAATGTTAGTCTATGGGTTATTGTAGTCTATGGGTTATTGTAGTCTCTGGGTTATTGTAGTCGATGGGTTATTGTAGTCTATGGGTAATGTTAGTCTATGGGTAATGTTAGTCTATGGGAAATGTTAGTCTATGGGAAATGTTAGTCTATGGGTAATGTTAGTCTATGGGTAATGTTAGTCTATGGGAAATGTTAGTCTATGGGAAATGTTAGTCTATGGGTAATGTTAGTCTATGGGTAATGCTAGTCTATGGGTAATGTAAGTCTATGGGTAATTGTAGTCTATGGGTAGTGTTAGTCTATGGGTGATTGTAGTCTATGGGTAATGTTAGTCTATGGGAAATGTTAGTCTATGGGTAATGTTAGTCTATGGGTAATGTAAGTCTATGGGTAATTGTAGTCTATGGGTAGTGTTAGTCTATGGGTGATTGTAGTCTATGGGTAATTGTAGTCTATGGGTAATGTGAGTCTATGGGCAATGTTAGTCTATAGGTAATGTGAGTCTATGGGTAATTGTAGTCTATGGGTAATGTGAGTCTATGGGTAATGTTAGTCTATGGGTAATGTGAGTCTATGGGTAATGTTAGTCTATGGGTAGTGTTAGTCTATGGGTAATGTGAGTCTATGGGTAGTGTTAGTCTATGGGTAGTGTTAGTCTATGGGTAGTGTTAGTCTATGGGTAATGTTAGTCTATGGGTAGTGTTAGTCTATGGGTAATGTTAGTCTATGGGTAATGTTAGTCTATGGGTAATGTTAGTCTATGGGTAATGTTAGTCTATGGGTAAGTTTAGTCTATGGTTAATGTGAGTCTATGGGTTATTGTAGTCTATGGGTAATGTTAGTCTATGGGTAGTGTTAGTCTATGGGTTATTGTAGTCTATGGGTAATGTTAGTCTGTGGGTAATGTTAGTCTGTGGGTAATGTTAGTCTATGGGTTATTGTAGTCTATGGGTTATGTTAGTCTATGGGTAATGTTAGTCTGTGGGAGTGTTAGTCTATGGGTAATGTTAGTCTATGGGTAATGTGAGTCTATGGGTAGTGTTAGTCTATGGGTAATGTGAGTCTATGGGTAATGTTAGTCTATGGGTGATGTTAGTCTATGGGTAGTGTTAGTCTATGGGTAGTGTTAGTCTATGGGTAATGTAAGTCTATGGGTAATGTTAGTCTATGGGTAATTGTAGTCTATGGGTAGTGTTAGTCTATGGGTAATGTTAGTGTATAGGTAATGTTAGTCTATGGGTTATTGTAGTCTATGGGTTATTGTAGTCTCTGGGTTATTGTAGTCGATGGGTTATTGTAGTCTATGGGTAATGATAGTCTATGGGTAATGTTAGTCTATGGGTAATGTTAGTCTATGGGAAATGTTAGTCTATGGGAAATGTTAGTCTATGGGTAATGTTAGTCTATGGGTAATGTTAGTCTATGGGAAATGTTAGTCTATGGGAAATGTTAGTCTATGGGTAATGTTAGTCTATGGGTAATGCTAGTCTATGGGTAATGTAAGTCTATGGGTAATTGTAGTCTATGGGTAGTGTTAGTCTATGGGTGATTGTAGTCTATGGGTAATGTTAGTCTATGGGAAATGTTAGTCTATGGGTAATGTTAGTCTATGGGTAATGTAAGTCTATGGGTAATTGTAGTCTATGGGTAGTGTTAGTCTATGGGTGATTGTAGTCTATGGGTAATTGTAGTCTATGGGTAATGTGAGTCTATGGGCAATGTTAGTCTATAGGTAATGTGAGTCTATGGGTAATTGTAGTCTATGGGTAATGTGAGTCTATGGGTAATGTTAGTCTATAGGTAATGTGAGTCTATGGGTAATGTTAGTCTATGGGTAATGTTAGTGTATGGGTAATGTTAGTCTATGGGTAATGTTAGTCTATGGGTAATTGTAGTCTATGGGTAGTGTTAGTCTATGGGTAATTGTAGTCTATGGGTAGTGTTAGTCTATGGGTAATGTTAGTCTATGGGTAATGTTAGTCTATGGGTAATGTTAGTCTATGGGTAATGTTAGTCTATGGGTAAGTTTAGTCTATGGTTAATGTGAGTCTATGGGTTATTGTAGTCTATGGGTAATGTTAGTCTATGGGTAGTGTTAGTCTATGGGTTATTGTAGTCTATGGGTAATGTTAGTCTGTGGGTAATGTTAGTCTGTGGGTAATGTTAGTCTATGGGTTATTGTAGTCTATGGGTTATGTTAGTCTATGGGTAATGTTAGTCTGTGGGAGTGTTAGTCTATGGGTAATGTTAGTCTATGGGTAATGTGAGTCTATGGGTAGTGTTAGTCTATGGGTAATGTGAGTCTATGGGTAATGTTAGTCTATGGGTGATGTTAGTCTATGGGTAGTGTTAGTCTATGGGTAGTGTTAGTCTATGGGTAATGTAAGTCTATGGGTAATGTTAGTCTATGGGTAATTGTAGTCTATGGGTAGTGTTAGTCTATGGGTAATGTTAGTGTATAGGTAATGTTAGTCTATGGGTTATTGTAGTCTATGGGTTATTGTAGTCTCTGGGTTATTGTAGTCGATGGGTTATTGTAGTCTATGGGTAATGATAGTCTATGGGTAATGTTAGTCTATGGGTAATGTTAGTCTATGGGAAATGTTAGTCTATGGGAAATGTTAGTCTATGGGTAATGTTAGTCTATGGGTAATGTTAGTCTATGGGAAATGTTAGTCTATGGGAAATGTTAGTCTATGGGTAATGTTAGTCTATGGGTAATGCTAGTCTATGGGTAATGTAAGTCTATGGGTAATTGTAGTCTATGGGTAGTGTTAGTCTATGGGTGATTGTAGTCTATGGGTAATGTTAGTCTATGGGAAATGTTAGTCTATGGGTAATGTTAGTCTATGGGTAATGTAAGTCTATGGGTAATTGTAGTCTATGGGTAGTGTTAGTCTATGGGTGATTGTAGTCTATGGGTAATTGTAGTCTATGGGTAATGTGAGTCTATGGGCAATGTTAGTCTATAGGTAATGTGAGTCTATGGGTAATTGTAGTCTATGGGTAATGTGAGTCTATGGGTAATGTTAGTCTATAGGTAATGTGAGTCTATGGGTAATGTTAGTCTATGGGTAATGTTAGTGTATGGGTAATGTTAGTCTATGGGTAATGTTAGTCTATGGGTAATTGTAGTCTATGGGTAGTGTTAGTCTATGGGTAATTGTAGTCTATGGGTTATGTTAGTCTATGGGTAATGTTAGTCTGTGGGAGTGTTAGTCTATGGGTAATGTTAGTCTATGGGTAATGTTAGTCTATGGGTGATTGTAGTCTATGGGTAATGTTAGTCTATGGGCAATGTTAGTCTATGGGTAATGTTAGTCTATGGGTAGTGTTAGTCTATGGGTTATTGTAGTCTATGGGTTATGTTAGTCTATGGGTAATGTAAGTCTATGGGTAGTGTTAGTCTATGGGTAGTGTTAGTCTATGGGTAATGTTAGTCTATGGGTAAGTTTAGTCTATGGGTAGTGTTAGTCTATTGGTAATGTTAGTCTATGGGTAATGTTAGTCTATGGGTAATGTTAGTCTATGGGTAGTGTTAGTCTATGGGTAATGTTAGTCTATGGGTAGTGTTAGTCTATGGGTAATGTTAGTCTATGGGTAAGTTTAGTCTATGGTTAATGTGAGTCTATGGGTTATTGTAGTCTATGGGTAATGTTAGTCTATGGGTAGTGTTAGTCTATGGGTTATTGTAGTCTATGGGTTATGTTAGTCTATGGGTAATGTTAGTCTGTGGGAGTGTTAGTCTATGGGTAATGTTAGTCTATGGGTAATGTTAGTCTATGGGTGATTGTAGTCTATGGGTAATGTTAGTCTATGGGCAATGTTAGTCTATGGGTAATTGTAGTCTATGGGTAATGTTAGTCTATGGGTAATGTTAGTCTATAGGTAATGTTAGTCTATGGGTAATGTTAGTCTATAGGTAATGTGAGTCTATGGGTAATGTTAGTCTATGGGTAATGTTAGTCTATGGGTAATGTTAGTGTATGGGTAATGTTAGTCTATGGGTAATGTTAGTCTATGGGTAATTGTAGTCTATGGGTAGTGTTAGTCTATGGGTAATTGTAGTCTATGGGTAATGTTAGTCTATGGGCAATGTTAGTCTATGAGTAATGTTAGTCTATGGGTAATGTTAGTCTATGGGAAATGTTAGTCTATGGGTAGTGTTAGTCTATGGGTAATGTTAGTCTATGGGTAATGTGAGTCTATGGGTAATGTGAGTCTATGGGTAATGTTAGTCTATGGGTTATTGTAGTCTATGGGTAGTGTTAGTCTATGGGTAGTGTTAGTCTATGGGTAATGTTAGTCTATGGGTTATTGTAGTCTATGGGTAGTGTTAGTCTATGGGCAATGTTAGTCTATGGGTAATGTGAGTCTATGGGTAGTGTTAGTCTATGGGTAGTGTTAGTCTATGGGTAGTGTTAGTCTATGGGTAATGTGAGTCTATGGGTAATCTTAGTCTATGGGTAATGTTAGTCTAAGGGTAATGTTAGTCTATGGGTAATGTTAGTCTATGGGTAATGTTAGTCTAAGGGTAATGTTAGTCTATGGGTAATGTTAGTCTATGGGTAATGTGAGTCTATGGGTAGTGTTAATCTTTGGGTAATGTTAGTCTATGGGTAATGTGAGTCTATGGGTAATTGTAGACTAACTCCCTACCATTCCCGCTTCTACCCTCTCTCTCTCTCTTCCTCCTCCCTCCCCCCTCCCTCCTCCCCCACCTCCACCCCTCCTCCTCCCCCCTCCTCCTTCACCTCCCCACCTCCTCCCCCCTCTTTCTTCTCTTCCTCTGCTCCCCTCCCCCCTCCCTCCCCCCTCCTGACCCCCGGGTACTTAAAGAGTCTCGCCAAGATCACAAACCACGGACCACGCGGAGGCGGAGGAGTGGGGACAGAGACACAGAGAGAGACACAGGTAGAGACAGAGAGAGCGAGAGACACAGGTAGAGAGAGAGACAGGGACAGAGACACAGAGAGAGACACAGGTAGAGACAGAGAGAGCGAGAGACACAGGTAGAGAGAGACAGATACAGAGACACAGAGAGAGACACAGGTAGAGACAGAGAGAGCGAGAGACACAGGTAGAGAGAGAGACAGTGACAGACACATAGAGAGACACAGGTAGAGACAGAGAGAGCGAGAGACACAGGTAGAGAGAGAGACAGGGACAGATACACAGAGAGAGACAAAGGTAGAGACAGAGAGAGCGAGAGACACAGGTAGAGAGAGAGAGACAGAGAGAGAGAGACAGTGACAGACACATAGAGAGACACAAGTATAGACAGAGAGAGCGAGAGACACAGGTAGAGAGAGAGAGACAGGGACAGAGACAGAGAGAGCGACACGGAGAGAGAGACAGGGAGAGAGACAGAGAGAGACAGGGAGAGAGACAGAGAGAGACAGGGAGAGAGCGACAGGGAGAGAGAGAGGGACAGAGAGAGAGACAGAGAGAGAGACACAGAGAGACAGGGAGAGAGACAGACAGAGAGACATGGAGAGAGTGACAGGGAGAGCGAGACACAGGTAGAAAGAGACAGGCACAGAGACAGAGATAGAGATTCGGAGAGAGAGAGAGAGACAGGGAGAGAGACACAGAGAGACAGGGAGAGAGACTGGGAGAGAGACAGAGAGAGAGAGACAGAGAGAGAGAGACAGAGACAGAGAGAGACGGAGAGAAACAGGGAGAGAGAGACAGAGAGAGAGACAGACAGAGACACAGAGAGACAGGGAGAAAGAGACAGAGAGACAGAGAGAGATAGAGAGAGAGACACACAGAGAGACAGGGAGAGAGACTGGGAGAGAGACAGAGAGACACAGAGAGACAGGGAGAAAGAGACAGAGAGAGACAGAGACACAGAGAGACAGGGAGAAATAACCAGACCCCTTTAATGCTCACTGCTAGACCACACCGAGGCGACTGACATACACACATACACACACATACACACACACACATACACACATACATACACACATACACATACACACATACACACACACATACACACATACACACACACATACACACACACATACACACACACACCGCGTAAGAAGCGATTCGACCCACGCACGCCAACCGATCAACGTTAGCCGCCGCTAATAATCTTAAGACGCCAATCTTTGAAGCTCGTCATCAATGGCTTTTGTTAGCCTCGGGGATCGATACAGTTGAACTCTTTGTCACTCTCCCCCTGTTATCGATTGCCGATTCTGTCCGCCGCCGGTTGATCGTTCGTCCGGATCTTTGCCGTCGGTTCTGCGAGCTGTCGATCATCGGGGTGGTGGTGGTGGCGGGGGGCGGCTAAATCGGTTAAAATTCGGGCAACGCTGCGACGCGCTTTGCCCATCTGCATCGTCGAAGGAAAACGTTGGGGGCCGTCGGTCGGTCGGTCGGGCGGGCGGGCGGGCGGTCGGGCGGGGGGTGTGTCTTTCTAATCTGGTAGGCGTCACCGGATTTATCAGGGTGTGTCTTTCTAATCTGGTAGGCGTCACCGGATTTATCAGGGTGTGTCTTTCTAATCTGGTAGGCGTCACCGGATTTATCAGGGTGCGTCTTTGTAATTTGGAAGGTGTCACCGGATTAATCAGGGTGTGTCTTTGTAATCTGGTAGGCGTCACCGGATTTATCAGGGTTCGTCTTTGTAATCTGGTAGGTGTCACCGGATTTATCAGGGTGTGTCTTTGTAATCCGGTAGGTGTCACCGGATTTATCAGGGTTCGTCTTTGTAATCTGGTAGGCGTCACCGGATTTATCGGGGTGTGTCTTTGTGATCTGGTAGGCATCACCGGATTAATCAGGGTGTGTCTTTGTAACCCGGTAGGCGTCACCGGATTTATCAGGGTGTGTCTATGTAATCTGGTAGGTGTCACCGGATTTATCAGGGTGTGTCTTTGTAATCCGGTAGGCGTCACCGGATTTATCAGGGTGCGTCTTTGTAACCCGGTAGGCGTCACCGGATTTATCAGGGTGTGTCTTTGTAATCTGGTAGGTGTCACCGGATTTATCAGGGTGTGTCTTTGTAATCTGGTAGGCGTCACCGGATTTATCAGGGTGTGTCTTTGTAATCTGGTAGGCGTCACCGGATTTATCGGGGTGTGTCTTTGTGATCTGGTAGGCATCACCGGATTAATCAGGGTGTGTCTTTGTAACCCGGTAGGCGTCACCGGATTTATCAGGGTGTGTCTATGTAATCTGGTAGGTGTCACCGGATTTATCAGGGTGTGTCTTTGTAATCCGGTAGGCGTCACCGGATTTATCAGGGTGCGTCTTTGTAACCCGGTAGGCGTCACCGGATTTATCAGGGTGTGTCTTTGTAATCTGGTAGGTGTCACCGGATTTATCAGGGTGTGTCTTTGTAATCTGGTAGGCGTCACCGGATTTATCAGGGTGTGTCTTTGTAATCTGGTAGGCGTCACCGGATTTATCAGGGTGTGTCTTTGTAATCTGGTAGGTGTCACCGGATTTATCAGGGTGTGTCTTTGTAATCTGGTAGGCGTCACCGGATTTATCAGGGTGTGTCTTTGTAATCTGGTAGGTGTCACCGGATTTATCAGGGTGCGTCTTTGTAACCCGGTAGGCGTCACCGGATTTATCAGGGTGTGTCTTTGTAATCTGGTAGGTGTCACCGGATTTATCAGGGTGTGTCTTTGTAATCTGGTAGGCGTCACCGGATTTATCAGGGTGTGTCTTTGTAATCTGGTAGGCGTCACCGGATTTATCAGGGTGTGTCTTTGTAATCTGGTAGGTGTCACCGGATTTATCAGGGTGTGTCTTTGTAATCTGGTAGGCGTCACCGGATTTATCAGGGTGTGTCTTTGTAATCTGGTAGGTGTCACCGGATTTATCAGGGTGTGTCTTTGTAATCTGGTAGGCGTCACCGGATTTATCAGGGTGTGTCTTTGTAATTTGGTAGGCGTCACCGGATTTATCAGGGTGTGTCTTTGTAATCTGGTAGGCGTCACCGGATTTATCAGGGTTCGTCTTTGTAGCCTGGTAGGTGTCACCGGATTTGATTAACTTTATCGGGGCAAATCTTGAAATCCGGTAGGCGTAACCGGATTTGATTAACTTTTTCGGGGCAAATCTTGTAATCCGGTAGGCGTCACCGGATATATCGGGGTGCGTCTTTGTAATCCGGTAGGCGTCACCGGATTCGCGTAACTTTACCTGCTGCATCTTGCACGCGTGCGTGTGTGACCAGATCTATGTAATTTCATTAACACCTGGGCAGACGCCCCTTTGGGGCACCGTCTTACTTTCCAGAGCGTCTCATAACCTGGGGACTCCGGCCAAAGAACATCGCAGGCCTCACGACGATCAGCTCGTCGATGACCGCTGAAAAGCCTCTCAATTCCGTCATCGCGATCGGTAAATTCCACCGAGGTTTCGCTGATTAGCCCACGACAATGACCACTCCTGCCGCCGTGCTGAGGATCGTCAATTGGGAGATCGTTCACCTGCTTAATTGGGAGATTGTTGACCTCTTAACTTGTAGATTGTTCACCTGTTAATTGGGAGATCGGTCACCTGCTCATTGGGAGAGCGTTCACCTGCCAATTGGGAGATTGTTCAACTCTTACTTGGGAGATCGTTCACCTCTTAATTTGGAGATAGTTCACCTCTTAATTTGGAGATAGTTCACCTCTTAATTTGGAGATAGTTCACCTCTTACTTGGGAGATCGTTCACCTCTTAATTTGGAGATAGTTCACCTCTTAATTTGGAGATAGTTCACCTCTTAATTTGGAGATAGTTCACCTGTTCAGGTGGGCCCGTACCCCGACGCGAGACCAACGCCCGCCGACCCAAATTCACTCGAATTCCAAGCGCCCTTGATCATCCCGCTGATAGCCCGCCTATGAAACTCCCGTCAATACCCGATTCCGATTCGTGAGTAGCCGCCCGAGCCAGAGGCCACGTGGGTTTGGTGGTATTTTTGTTTTTTTCGTGAGAAATCCCAGCATCTTTTTTTAAATTTTCACGCGCGTCGGTTAGACACATGTTAAGATATTGCAATTGTCGTCACCGCGATTTTTAAAACGACGGTAAAAATTTAAAAGTGAACGCCACGTCGCTTAAATCGATTCAAATCCTCCCCCCCCCCCCCCCCCCGCCGCCCCGTGCGACCAGCAAACCCGATGCCAGGCGCCGACCACTCGGTCGTCGCGGGTGTCAACTGCCCGCGGGGCAACACTCGACTCTGCCAGCCACCGCCGCCGCCGGGCGGAGGGGCCGAGTTTGCCTCCCGAGCGGGGGGCTCGGGGACGGCCCGGCAGAAGCAGAAGCGGTGCCGGACGACGTTCACGAGCCACCAGCTGACGGAGCTTGAGGTTGTCTTCCGGAGGTCGCACTACCCGGACGTGTTCCTCAGGTGAGTTGGCGGCACCGGTTGCGTCTCCAGCATCACCACCATCGCCACCATCACCACCATCACCAGCATCACCACCGGTGACATCTCCACCATCACCACCATCACCACCATCACCACCGATGACGTCTCCACCATCACCACCATCACCACCATTACCAGCATCACCACAATCACCACCATCACCAGCGGTGACGGTCTCCACCATCGCCACCATCACCACCATCACCAGCGGTGACGGTCTCCACCATCGCCACCATCACCACCATCACCACCATCACCAGCATCACCACCGATGACGTCTCCACCATCACCACCATCAACCACAATCACCACCAGTGGCATCTCCACCATCACCACCATCACCACCAGTACTATCATCCTCTTCACGACCAATATGCATAACAGTTTTTTGTTTGAATCAGATCACCTAAATCTAAATGCGTGCCGTCGTTAAACCCGCCGCCGCCACCCAACACGGCCAGTCCGCTAGCCCAGGGGTCTGGGACCGGTACCGGTCCGTGGCCTGTTAGGAACCGGACCGCACAGCAGCAGGAGGTGAGAGCGGTGAGTCCGATCACGTGGCCCGCCCCCATCGTTTTATTATTTACCACTTCCGTCCGCGCCTCTTTCCCACACTGCGAACTTGTCTCAGTCGCGGTGTTGGTATGAAGCCCACAAGCTCTAACCCCTAGTAGCCACAATGAGTAAGCCCACAAGCTCTAACCCCTAGTAACCACAATGAGTAAGCCCACGAGCTAACCCCTAGTAGCCACAAGGAGTAAACCCACGAGCTCTAACCCCTAGTAGCCACAATGAGTAAGCCCACGAGCTCTAACCCCTAGTAGACACAAGGAGTAAGCCCACAAGCTCTAACCCCTAGTAGCCACAATGAGTAAGCCCACAAGCTCTAGCCCCCTAGTAGCCACAAGGAGTAAGCCCACAAGCTCTAACCCCGAGTAGCCACAACGAGTAAGCCCACAAGCTCTAACCCCTAGTAGCCACAATGAGTAAGCTCACAAGCTCTAACACCTAGTAGCCACAGTGAGTAAGCCCACAAGCTCTAACCCCTAGTAGCCACAATGAGTAAGCCCACAAGCTCTAACCCCTAGTAGCCACAATGAGTAAGCCCACAAGCTCTAACCCCTAGTAGCCACAATGAGTAAGCCCACAAGCTCTAACCCCTAGTAGCCACAAGGAGTAACCCCACAAGCTCTAACCCCCTAGTAGCCACAAGGAGTAACCACACAAGCTCTAACCCCTAATAGCCACAATGAGTAAGCCCACAAGCTCTAACCCCTAGTAGCCACAAAGAGTAAGCCCACAAGCTCTAACCCCGAGTAGCCACAATGAGTTAGCCCACAAGCTCTAACCCCCTAGTAGCCACAAAGAGTAAGCCCACAAGCGCTAACCTCTAGTAGCCACAATGAGTAAGCCCACAAGCTCTAACCCCCGAGTAGCCACAATGAGTAAGCCCACAAGCTAACCCCTAGTAGCCACAATGAGTTAGCCCACAAGCTCTAACCCCTAGTAGCCACAATGAGTTAGCCCACAAGCTCTAACCCCTAGTAGCCACAATGAGTAAGCCCACAAGCTCTAACCCCTAGTAGCCACAATGAGTAAGCCCACAAGCTCTAACCCCGAGTAGCCACAAGGAGTAAGCCTACAAGCTCTAACCCCTAGTAGCCACAAGGAGTAAGCCCACAAGCTCTAACCCCTAGTAGCCACAATGAGTAAGCCCACAAGCTCTAACCCCTAGTAGCCACAATGAGTAAGCCCACAAGCTCTAACCCCTAGTAGCCACAATGAGTAAGCCCACAAGCTAACCCCTAGTAGTCACGATGAGTAAGCCCACAAGCTCTAACCCCTAGTAGCCACAATGAGTAAGCCCACAAGCTCTAACCCCTAGTAGCCACAATGAGTAAGCCCACAAGCTCTAACCCCTAGTAGCCACAAGGAGTTAGCCCACAAGCGCTAACCCCTAGTAGCCACAATGAGTAAGCCCACAAGCTCTAACCCCTAGTAGCCACAAGGAGTAACCACACAAGCTCTAACCCCCTAGTAGCCACAATGAGTAACCCCACAAGCTCTAACCCCTAGTAGCCACAAGGAGTTAGCCCACGAGCACTAACCCCCGAGTAGCCACAAGGAGTAAGCCCACGAGCTCTAACCCCTAGTAGCCACAAGGAGTAAGCCCACGAACACTAACCCCTAGTAGCCACAATGAGTTAGCCCACAAGCTCTAACCCCTAGTAGCCACAATGAGTAAGCCCACAAGCTCTAACCCCTAGTAGCCACAAGGAGTAATAATCAAAAGGGGGGGAAAGACCCAATGATGACCACCCCCCCACACCTCCGGTCCGTGAAAAAATTGTCTTCCACGAAACCGCTCCCTGGTGCCAAAAAGATTGGGGACCGCTGGGTTAATGGGCTTGTAACGTCAACCAACACGTCGCCAAGTATTTCGCTTACGAGTTCACTCACAGGCTTGCGGCGTGTGGGAGCGTTTAACCAACAGCGACATTTGTACAAATTCGAGCAGCAATATGGGACATTTCTCGCCGGTATCAAAATACAAGAATAGGTTCAATCTTGATTTGAAGCTTTCCTGACCAGCCCCCCTCATTAATAATCATGAACAGGTGACGTCCTCCAAATGGACACCCCCCCCCTTTTCCATTAATAATAATTAGCGGGTGACGTCACTCCAAATTGGGGGGGCGTCAACTCACAGCCCTCAGAACCCTCACGTCATCACGTGATCTCCGTGACGCTGCTGAGACATTGAAGTAAAAAGGACGCCGTGATGAACAAGGGATTATAACCTTCAAATGACACGAGTCTGCGTCATCGCGGCCTTACAAATTGCACACCGGTGACACCTCCACCATCACCACCATCGCCACAGTCACTGCCAGTGACATCTCTCAACGAATGGTTGCAATGAATATCAATGTCACGGGCTGCTTTTCGCTTGCAAGTTTCAGATTTGCTACGATGCGCCCTCGACTTGAAGCTTTCGTGACTGCAGGAATCCATGCTCTTTGGTTCTTTCGGTAAAGCCACGTAGGTGGACATGGAAAACGAATTAAAAAAATAACTATTTATAGCACGTAGGTAGACACGGAAAACGAAATATAAAATATTTTTTTCTATTTCGTTCAATTTTTTCTATTTCGTTTATTTTTTCTACCTCCGCGACTTTACCGAAATAACCAAAGGGAATGGTTTCTTAACCTTTCAGGCCATCGTAAAACAGGCGGTGTTGAGATGTTTAAAACACCAAATGGAAACCTTTTGCAGGGAATCCTTATCTGCACGGTACTTATGGTGAACATGCACACACCAAAACACACACTCTGGTAGTATATGATGATGATGATTATGATGATGATTATGATGATGCATCGGCTTTGAAACTCATTGGTCCACACTGGAGGCCGAAGCCTTCTTTAGGGCCTAGTCTCAAACGGTGTAAGACCCCAGAGGACTATGCCAAAAGGCGAACAGCACCAGGACAATGCCACTATCAGGAGCATTGAGAGCTCGGGGTTGAGCGGCTACATTTTGGGCCCTCCCTTGCCACTATCAAAATACAAGAGCAGGTCTTGCCCTTTCTGACAATTAAAACAGCTGTGTTAAGATGTTGAAACACCAAGCAGAATCCTTTATCAAGGGATCAGGTGCTGCACTAACCACATATGCTTGTGGGGAACATGCAAATAAAAAAAATGACATGGTTCACTCCAGCGCTGTCCTCCAGACATTCTCGTCCCTTCACCTGATGAAGGCCGCTTGTGTTGTGGCTGAAACGTCGTGAGAATATTATTGTGTTATTTTATTTTATCAATTTATTATTTTATTCTCATTCTACGTGGTGACTTTACCGAAAGAACCAAAGAAGATGAATCCTTGCAGTCACGAAAGCTTTAAATCGAAATGGTTTGGTTAGTATATGATGCATTTTGGCCGTATAAGTTCGACCCCGACGCCTGCTGCTGTACATTTGGAGTTTGGGTCTCTGTCTGTCTCTCTCTCTTTCTCTCTCCCCGTGGTCACGGGGTATTTTTCTTCGTGTCCTCCGGTTTCTTCCTTCTACATTTGAGAATCGACGTCAAGCGTTTCCAGTTTTTGTCTGCCGCTATACATTTCTGTGGGTCTCTGTGGTTCTACATGGGTCTCTGGAACTACGTGGGTCTCTGGGTCTCTAAGTGTGGGTCTCTGTGGGTCACTGTGGGTCACTGTGGGTCTCTGTGGGTCTCTATGGTTCTACATGGGTCTCAGGATCTACGTGGGTCTCTGGGTCTCTAAGTGTGGGTCTCTGTGGGTCTCTATGGTTCTACATGAGTCTCTGGATCTACGTGGGTCTCTGGGTCTCTATGTGTGGGTCTCTGTGGGTCTCTATGGTTCTACATGAGTCTCTGGATCTACGTGGGTCTCTGGGTCTCTAAGTGTGGGTCTCTGTGGATCACTGTGGGTCACTGTGGGTCTCTGTGGGTCTCTGTGGGTCGCTATGGTTCTACATGGGTCTCAGGATCTACGTGGGTCTCTGGGTCTCTAAGTGTGGGTCTCTGTGGTTCTACATGAGTCTCTAGATCTACGTGGGTCTATGGGAATCTAAGTGTGGGTCATTGTGGGTCGCTATGGTTCTACATGGGTCTCAGGATCTACGTGGGTCTATGGGAATCTAAGTGTGGGTCATTGTGGGTCTCTATGGTTCTACATGAGTCTCTGGATCTACGTGGGTCTATGGGTCTCTAAGTGTGGGTCTCTGTGGGTGTATCTGGTTCTACATGAGTCTCTAGATCTACGTGGGTCTCTGGGTCTCTAAGTGTGGGTCTCTGTGGGTCACTATGGGTCACTGTGGGTCTCTGTGGGTCTCTGTGGGTCGCTATGGTTCTACATGGGTCTCAGGATCTACGTGGGTCTATGGGAATCTAAGTGTGGGTCATTGTGGGTCTCTATGGTTCTACATGAGTCTCTGGATCTACGTGGGTCTATGGGTCTCTAAGTGTGGGTCTCTGTGGGTCTCTATGGTTCTACATGAGTCTCTGGATCTACGTGGGTCTCTGGGTCTCTAAGTGTGGGTCTCTGTGGGTGTATCTGGTTCTACATGAGTCTCTGGATCTACGTGGGTCTCTGGGTCTCTAAGTGTGGGTCTCTGTGGGTCTCTATGGTTCTACATGAGTCTCTAGATCTACGTGGGTCTCTGGGTCTCTAAGTGTGGGTCTCTGTGGTTCTACATGAGTCTCTAGATCTACGTGGGTCTCTGGGTCTCTAAGTGTGGGTCTCTGTGGGTCTCTATGGTTCTACATGAGTCTCTAGATCTACGTGGGTCTATGGGTATCTGAGTGTGGGTCTCTGTGGGTCTCTATGGTTCTACATGAGTCTCAGGATCTACGTGGGTCTATGAGTCTCTAAGTGTGGGTCTCTGTGGGTCTCTGTGGTTCTACATGAGTCTCTGGATCTACGTGGGTATATGGGTATCTAAGTGTGGGTCTCTGTGGGTCTCCATGGTTCTACATGAGTCTCTGGATCTACGTGGGTCTATGGGTCTCTAAGTGTGGATCTCTGTGGGTCTCTGTGGGTCACTGTGGGTCTCTGGCTCTCTGTGGGTCTCTGTGGGTCTCTGTGGGTCACTGTGGGTCTCTGTGGGTCACTGTGGGTCTCTGTGGGTCACTGTGGGTCTCTGTGGGTCACTGTGGGTCTCTGTGGGTCACTGTGGGTCTCTGTGGGTCACTGTGGGTCTCTGTGGGTCACTGTGGGTCTCTGGGTCACTGTGGGTCTCTGTGGGTCACTGTGGGTCACTGTGGGTCACTGTGGGTCTCTGTGGGTCACTGTGGGTCTCTGGGTCTCTGTGGGTCTCTGTGGGTCTCTGTGGATCTCTGTGGGTCTCTATGGGTCTCTATGGGTCTCTGTGGGTCTCTGTGGATCTCTGTGGGTCTCTGTGGGTCACTGTGGGTCTCTGTGGGTCACTGTGGGTCTCTGGGTCACTGTGGGTCACTGTGGGTCTCTGTGGGTCACTGTGGGTCTCTGTGGGTCTCTATGGGTCTCTGGGTCTCTGTGGGTCTCTGTGGATCTCTGTGGGTCTCTCTGGGTCTCTGTGGGTCACTGTGGGTCTCTGGGTCACTGTGGGTCACTGTGGGTCTCTGTGGGTCACTGTGGGTCTCTGTGGATCTCTGTGGATCTCTGGGTCTCTGGGTCACTGTGGGTCACTGTGGGTCTCTGTGGGTCACTGTGGGTCTCTGTGGGTCTCTATGGGTCTCTGGGTCTCTGTGGGTCTCTGTGGATCTCTGTGGGTCTCTCTGGGTCTCTGTGGGTCACTGTGGGTCTCTGGGTCACTGTGGGTCACTGTGGGTCTCTGTGGGTCTCTGTGGGTCTCTGTGGGTCACTGTGGGTCACTGTGGGTCTCTGGGTCTCTGTGGGTCTCTGTGGATCTCTGTGGGTCTCTGTGGGTCTCTGTGGGTCTCTGTGGGTCTCTGTGGATCTCTGTGGGTCTCTGTGGGTCTCTGTGGGTCTCTGTGGATCTCTGTGGGTCTCTGTGGGTCACTGTGGGTCTCTATGGGTGTCTGTGGCTCTGTAGAAACACGCGTTTAGAGCATTTGGCTGCTATAAATTTCCACGCGATGATGATGATATCAGCCACTTGATTGAGCCACAATCTGCCATGGCGAGGTGTCGCTTCTGTGACACCAGCTACTGCGTATTTGCTCAGTAGGGCCTTACACGGGGTAAAATAACAAGTTTAGTTCGAGTTTAAACGAGCTGGTTAGTGATGGTGATGTCACTGCTATCTCTCTGTCTCTCTCTGTCTGTCTCTCTGTCTCTCTCTGTCTATCTGTCTCTCTCTCTGTCTCTCTCTCTGTCTCTCTCTGTGTCTCTCTGTCTCTCTCTGTCTATCTCTCTCTGTGTCTTTCTGTCTCTGTCTCTCTGTCTCTCTCTTTCTGTGTCTCTCTCTGTCTCTCTGTCTCTGTCTCTCTGTCTCTCTTTGTCTGTCTCTCTGTCTCTCTCTCTCTCTGTCTGTCTCTCTGTCTCTCTCTCTGTGTCTCTCTGTCTCTCTCTGTCTCTTTGTCTCTCTCTCTGTCTCTCTCTGTCTGTCTCTCTATCTCTGTCTCTCTCTCTGTCTGTCTCTCTGTCTCTCTCTGTGTCTCTCTGTCTGTCTCTCTGTCTCTCTCACTGTCTCTCTCTCTCTGTGTCTCTCTCTGTGTCTCTCTCTGTGTCTCTCTGTCTCTCTGTGTCTCTTTCTCTCTGTGTGTCTCTCTCTCTGTCTATCTCTCTCTGTCTGTCTCTCTGTCTGTCTGTCTGTCTGTCTCTCTCTGTCTCTCTCTCTGTCTCTCTCTGTCTCTCTGTCTCTCTCTGTCTCTCTGTCTCTCTCTGTCTCTCTCTCTGTCTGTCTCTCTGTCTCTGTCTCTCTCTGTCTCTCTCTCTCTGTGTCTGTCTCTCTCTCTGTGTCTCTCTGTCTCTCTCTGTGTCTCTCTGTCTCTCTCTCTGTCTCTCTGTCTCTCTCTGTCTCTCTGTCTCTCTCTGTCTCTCTCTCTGTCTGTCTCTCTGTCTCTGTCTCTCTCTCTGTCTCTCTCTCTGTCTCTTTCTGTCTCTGTCTCTCTCTGCAGGGACGAACTCGCAAAGAGCCTGGAGCTCACAGAGTCCCGGGTACAGGTCTGAACCGCACGACCACCGCTAACTAGCCCCGCTAACTAACACCACTAACTACCACCGCTAACTAGCACCGCTAACTCACACCGCTAACTAACACCACCCCGCTAACTAGCACCGCTAAATAACACCACCCCGCTAACTAGCACCGCTAACTAGCACCGCTAACTAACACCACCCCGCACACTAGCACCGCTAACTTTCACCGCTAACTAACACCACCCCGCTAACTAGCACCACTAACTAACACCACACCGTTAACTAGCACCGCTAACTAACACCATCCCGCTAACTAACACCACCCCGCTAACTAGCACCGCTAACTAACACCACCCCGCTAACTAGCACCGCTAACTAACACCACACCGCTAACTAGCACCACTAACTAACACCACCCCGCTAACTAACACCACCCCGCTAACTAGCACCGCTAACTAACACCACCCCGCTAACTGCCACAGCAACTATCGCTGTTACTAACTACCACTGTTAATTACCACCACCAGCTACCGCAACCATCATCGCTACTGGCTACCACTATTACTAACTACCACTCCTGCTACTACTAACTAGCGGTAGTTACCACAACTTCCTGCTATTGATATCACCACCACCACTTCCCCGATACTATTCCTTAACTAGCAATACCAACGCTCCTCGTGTGCAATGTTGTGGTGCTGATATTGATGAGGATGATATCAATCATGAGGATATTGACACAAAGCTTCGTATTGGTAATGACGATCAGAATCCTTGTATTGATGACATTGGTTGGCATTAATGGCGTGACAATGATTTATCATTGATTAAGATATTGATCATGATGGCCCATGATATAGCTGTAATGGTGGTGATGATGATCGATGATATTGATTATTGATGATTATATTGGTCGTGATAATCTACATCGATGATGGTCCACGGTACTCACATTGATAATGCTGATCTTGATGCATTATGCCTATTATTGATCATATTGGAAATGATGATGTATGATCGTAATCATAGTATTCATGATGGTGATCGATGATTTTATTGATGGTCAATGGTCATGTCGACGTATGGTTATATTGATCATTGTGTTGATAGTACTGATGATCGTAATTATGATCTATGAAAATATTGATATCGATGATATATTGATGATCGATAATGATCTATGATTTGTGATATAGATGATCTATGATCATATTGCAACTGCTATGTATGACCATATTGATGATATCGATGATATTGATGATAGTCATATAGATGATCTATGATAATATTGATATCGATGATATTATATTGATCTATGATATGTGATGATATATTGATAATATTGATAACGATGATGGTGGTTATGATGGTGATGATGGTGGTGATGATTTTGATGATGGTGGTGATGATGGTGGCGATGGTGGTGGTGATGGTGGTGGTGGTGGTGATGGTGGAGATGGTGGTGGTGATGGTGGTGATGGTGATGATGATGGTGGTGATGGTGATGGTGGTGGTGATGGTGGTGGTGGCGATGGTGGTGGTGTTGATGATGGTGGCGATGGTGGTGGTGGTGATGGTGGAGATGGTGGTGGTGATGGTGGAGATGGTGGTGGTGATGGTGGAGATGGTGATGATGATGGTGGTGATGGTGGTGGTGATAGTGGTGGTGTTGATGATGGTGGCGATGGTGGTGGTGGTGGTGGTGATGGTGGTGGTGGCAATGGTGGTGGTGGTGATGATGATGGTGGTAATGGTTGTGGTGATGGTGGTGATGGTGGCGATGGTGGTGGCGATGGTGGTGATGGTGGTGATGGTGGTGATGGTGGTGGTGATGATGGTGGTGATGGTAGTGATGGTGGTGATGGTGATGGTGGTGATGGTGGTGATGGTGGTGATGGTGGTGGTGATGATGATGATGGTGGTGGTGGTGGTGATGGTGGTGATGGTGTGGTGATGATTATGGTGGTGGTGGTGATGGTGGTGATGATGATGATGATGGTGGTGATGGTGATGGTGTGGTGATGATGATGGTGATGGTGGTGGTGATGATGGTGGTGGTGATGGTGGTGATGGTGTGGTGGTGATGATGATGGTGGTGGTGGTGATGGTGGTGATGGTGTGGTGGTGATGATGATGGTGGTGGTGGTGGTGATGGTGTGGTGGTGATGATGATGGTGGTGGTGGTGGTGATGCTTTCTCCAGGTTTGGTTTCAGAACCGTCGCGCCAAATGGCGCAAGAGAGCAAAAATGTACCAACAATACACTCACCAGCACACTCACCAGCACACTCACCACACTCACCAGCACACTCACCAGGACACTCACCAGGACACTCACCAGGACACTCACCATCAGCACGCTCACCAGCCCGCTCGCCACACTCACCATCACCATGCTCACCAGCACGCTCGCCACACTCACCATCACCACGCTCACCAGCACGCTCGCCACACTCACCATCACCACGCTCACCAGGACACTCACCAGGACACTCACCAGGACACTCACCATCCTCACCACGCTCACCAGCAGGACCGTGGGCAGGCTGCCTTGCTGCCCACGGTGTGCCCCCCGGGACTGCTGCCCGAGAGAGGCGTGACACTGACCCTGAGGATTCCGTCCCTGGCTGAGCACTTCAGAAGGTCAGCCCTCTTGTCCACTGCTTGACTCAACGCGATTTAGGGGCCGTCCATGAATGACGTCACGCACCTGGGGGGGGGGGGGGGAGGGGTCAGACATTTGTGACGATGTGTGACGATGGGGGGGGTGGGAGTTTAAGAAATGTGACGTCACATCAAAACGCGCAACTTTATAAATAAATATGGAAAACACGTTCCACTTAATTAATTAGACTTTTTGATAAATGTTTTCTCCTACAACATCAGAGTGCAGCGCCACATTGAATACGCACTACAATGACGATAGTTTAAAGCGAGTTGAAGCATGTTTTATTTTCTGGAAATATGGTTTTGGGGGCGTGGCGGGGGGGGGGGGTCTGTCTGACTTTTTGTGACGTGGGGGGGGGGGGGGTCAAAAAGCGTCCAAAATCGCGTGACGTCATTTATGGACGGCCCCAACAGGGCTACCGACATAAACGTACACACGCACTAACTAGACCTCAACAGGGCTAGCGACATAAACGTCTACGCGCACTAACTAGACCCCAACAGGGCTAGCGACATAAACGTACACACGCACTAACTAGACCTCAACAGGGCTAGCGACATAAACGTACACACGCACTAACTAGACCCCAACAGGGCTAGCGACATAAACGTACACACGCACTAACTAGGCCCCAACAGGGCTAGCGACATAAACGTACACACGCACTAACTAGACCCCAACAGGGCTAGCGACATAAACGTACACACGCACTAACTAGGCCCCAACAGGGCTAGCGACATAAACGTACACACGCACTAACTAGACCCCAACAAGGCTAGCGACATAAACGTACACACGCACTAACTAGACCCCAACAGGGCTAGTGACATAAACGTACACACGCACTAACTAGACCCCAACAGGGCTAGGGACATAAACGTACACACGCACTAACTAGACCCCAACAGGGCTAGCGACATAAACGTACACACGCACTAACTAGACCCCAACAGGGCTAGCGACATAAACGTACACACGCGCTAACTAGACCCCAACAGGGCTAGCGACATAAACGTACACACGCACTAACTAGACCCCAACAGGGCTAGCGACATAAACGTACACACGCGCTAACTAGACCCCAACAGGGCTAGCGACATAAACGTACACACGCACTAACTAGACCCCACAGGGCTAGCGACATAAACGTACACACGCACTAACTAGACCCCAACAGGGCTAGCGACATAAACGTACACACGCACTAACTAGACCCCAACAGGGCTAGCGACATCAACGTACACACGCACTAACTAGACCCCAACAGGGCTAGCGACATAAACGTACACACGCACTAACTAGACCCCAACAGGGCTAGCGACATAAACGTACACACGCACTAACTAGACCCCACAGGGCTAGCGACATAAACGTACACACGCACTAACTAGACCTCAACAAGGCTAGCGACATAAACGTACACACGCGCTAACTACACCCCAACAGGGCTAGCGACATAAACGTACACACGCACTAACTAGACCCCACAGGGCTAGCGACATAAACGTACACACGCACTAACTAGACCCCAACAGGGCTAGCGACATAAACGTACACACGCACTAACTAGACCCCAACAGGGCTAATGACATAAACGTACACACGCACTAACTAGACCCCAACAGGGCTAGCGACATCAACGTACACACGCACTAACTAGACCCCAACAGGGCTAGCGACATAAACGTACACACGCACTAACTAGACCCCAACAGGGCTAGCGACATAAACGTACACACGCACTAACTAGACCCCACAGGGCTAGCGACATAAACGTACACACGCACTAACTAGACCTCAACAAGGCTAGCGACATAAACGTACACACGCGCTAACTACACCCCAACAAGGCTAACGACATAACCGGGTCGGTCAGTAACCTCGTGACTGACCCACGATGCCGAGCGGAGACCGTAGATCGGAGGGACGTGGCGTCCATTCCGAGGACGCTTCGGGGACCGCCCCTTTATGCCCCTGAGCGCGGCCTCGCTCCGCCCTCGGCCACGCCCCCTTCGAGACCTTTCCAGCAGGATCTAGGCCTAGCGCCGCGTGTCCCTCAAGCCCCCCTCCGGCTCCCTCTCCCTACCCTGTCCCGGTCACGTGCCCTCTCGGGCTCACCCAGACTACCACGTCCCGACTTGCCCTCTCTCAGGCCGAGCCAGGCCGATGCCCGCTAGGGCCCCGCTCGCGTGCCGTACTCACTCTGGCCCCAGGGAGAGGTTCCAGATGCACAGTAGCAGTCTTGTGACAGCGCCTGGTTCTAACACCACAGTGACACCCTTAACGTCACTACGTGTGCGTGCTGCGTGTGCGTTGGACTTCTTTCGCACCAACCGTGCTATGTGTGTGTGAACTTTTTTCACATCGTAGGCATGCCAGCCTAGAAACATTTAGGCCCAGCCTAGAAACATTTAGGTTGGGCCTGCCTACGATCCATCCTGAGTTTAACCAGCACGCTGGATTGTGTAAGGAGCTCACAAATCCTTGAAAGATCTGGACACATTCCCATGTCGCCCGCATGCCCAGCGACCGCATGCCCAAGCAGCTTCTGTTTGGCCAGATAGAGGGGGCTAAACGGGCGCGGCATGGGCTGGAGGAGAGATGGAGCTGATGCGGTACAGGAGGATGTGGAGCTGAGTGGATTTGCCGATGTGCGGTACCAGCGGTGTCAAGATCGGCCTATGTGGAGGAGGCTACTGGGCATCTGGAGGCAGTCGCCCTCCAGCAACAACGGAGGGCAGAGGAACGACGCTCTCACAACAACGAGCGGAGCGCCGGGCGGATAAAACTCCACAAATTGGCACAGTAGGGGGGTACAGCTGGTGGTGAATCTACCAGTGGTCATCTCAGTCGGTCAACCCATGGCACCTGCTGGGTCTGTCCCGTGACCTCCTCCTGCCAGCAGCGATCCTTCGACACTTCACGTGTTACCCTCAAAGTGCACCTAGCCTGGCACAGGCGCCGTGGTGACACCACCTTCACTTAGTGGCGAGTGGCGTGGGCACTGGAACTTCTTTCGCACCCTACGTAGCAAACCGCGCTACGTGCCGCCTTCTGCCTGGCAGAGCCAGGGTGTACAACTCCTCCTGGACACCAACCCACGGGTTGCACGCGACCGCTCCCTGCGACCGGTTGCACGCGACCGCCTCCCTGCGATCGGTTGCAGAGACGTCTACCACATTCACGTTGCACGCAACCCATAGAACCGACGACGGTTTAGTTTATTTTGCAATCTCCCCCCCCACCACCACCACCACCTCCCCTCCCCCGGCCCCCCCAGGTTCCTGGCCACGCGGTCGCCGCCCACGCCACGATCCGAGGCCGAGGCCGAGGCCACCGTCCTCGCCTGGCGGGCCGTGCCCGGCGAGGCGACGCCGGAGCCCCCGGCGCCTCCGGGCGAGGGCCGGGCTCCGGCCTGCGACCTGGCCGAGCTGCGGGCGTCCAGCATCGCGGCGCTGAGGCTGCGCGCGAGGCAGCACGAGGCGCGCATTCCACGTTCCCGCGCCGGGGCGCAGGACGTCAAGGAGTAGGGCGAGAGGCGCTCGATTAACACCCCATCGGCAGGTGACCCCAAGCGAGCCCGTCCCTACCACAACCCCTACCACCACCACCACCACCACGGGGGGTGGTG